ATATATAAAACTAAAAATGTGTTCTTAATCAATATGCACCATAGTTTTCTTTCAAAGTAGATCATTAAAAAAATATAAACTATAAAAAAAAAAATCAGCCCCCTCTCTATCCCCCTAAGTATCACTAGCTATGATTCCCCTACTGGTCCGTACTATCCTCATTCAACAGTTGCGGCCTTCAATACCCGAGCTTGACTGGTAAAAATCTAATGTCGGGCTGTGCAGTACAGAACTAGATTTTTACTGTTTGAGCTGTAGACAGTACAGCAGTCCTATGAGGCAACTATGGACCTGTGGGGGGACACAGCTAATGGCACTGAGAAGGAAAGAGAAGGAGATTGGTGGGATTTGTTTTAAAAGGTGAGCATGTATTGTAAGCCCTTGGCTTATATAAAATTGTAGTTAAGAGAATCCATTGGTTATATTTACAAAAAATGTCTTTGACTCTGCAGATGTTTATTAAATCCAGCTAGGTATACTTCTGTACACAAGTACAGGTAGCCTTAACTGATAAAATAAAGAAATAGCAGAAAAGCCACTGAGGAAGCCACAGTCTGTGAGCATCAAGGCAATGGTTGTCAAGGGAGGTCTTATATCTAACTCATGAGACAACTTAACTGCATGTGAAAGGAATTTCAGTTACAAGGAAATGGTTTTTAAAAGGGCATTTTTAAAATAGGAATTAATCTTTTCTATTCCTTAAACTGGAAACTTTGGATGAAGAAACCATAAAAAACACAATCAGTTAAGTTGCATAAACAACACAAAGCTGTACATGTCACAGTACATCTGAGAACATGCAGAGCTAAATATCAGAGAGACATATATTGCATATTTGAGACTCTAACATTCAGAACTACATGTAAGAAAGACAGCAATAAGGTAGTTTAAATATAAGAAAATGAAACAAAAGGCTTTAACTAGAAATCTTGCATTTCTAATAATGTGACATGCAACTCAGCATTTTTAGCCCATCAGTCTTTAACTCATACATCTGTTGTCATGTTGTCTGTAAAAACACAGCAGGTAATCTGTGGAGATGTACCTGTCAGAGACTTTTCCATACAGAACCTTTACCATATAGGAGCTCTTTAACACTGCATGATAATAAATTACTAATCAAGTCATTGAATGATCTGCATGGAAATGTGCTTGAAGATTTACAGCGCGTTAGTCTGTTGATAACATGTTACATCTTCACTGAGGATCCACAAGACTTAGCTTTGCAGTGGACACGATGAAAAATACAACCAGAGATGAAAAAGCATGATCAGATCACTTTATAAGAAATGTCACTGGATAAAATAGAATTCCAAGTGTCAGCCATATCCAGAGGCAGCTGGACCCCAGAAACAACCGTGAAGACATCAAGTGATGCCATTCAAGGGCTGGCATTGTCTAACCACCTGTGAAAAGTCTTGGAGTTTAATGTCCAGAACCTGGTGGTCCAGGAAATGTCCCAGAATCCCATCTCCGTGGGCCATGTAGAATGTGTAGCTTTGAATATTCATGTTGCCTGGATGACTTCCCACTGTTGGCTTCCCAGGTCTGACTGGCAAGGGTTGATCATAACTCTGGAGGTGTGAGTGTCCAAACACAGGGCACTGCTCAGATGCTGCAAGAAGTGTCCTTTCAACTTCCATTTCTAGAGAAGACAAGATAACACATGGTCAACATGATGCTAACATCAGTCCTATATCAAGGTAAAACATACATAATGTCAGATAACTGAGTGAATTTTAAAACATAGAGCCCTATAGTAGCTGGGAGGTTTCAACATGAGCTGGCCGATTGCTCTTACTATGAAATATCCAAATCACAGTCTAATAGTGTTGAATAGATAACCCAGTTTAAAGTTGGTCTGGCCAAGCTGGTATGATGGCTGAATTTCTGTATTTTTCCACACCAGAAATATACAGCGGTCTGGCTTTAACACCAGCTACAATACAAGCAGTGTTATGATGAATAGATGCAAAGCACGACATATAATAATTGGTAGACAGATAGGGTGGTCTTGCTCTGACAAATTCCAAAGCCATCTGGGTTGAAACTGGCTGCTTGCAATCTCTCTGTTAGAAGTTTTTACTTTCACATTCCCTGGCCACGCTTCCGACTTTCAGGCACCATTCACATCTGAGTGTTTTGTAGCTTGAAGATCAAAGCTACAAAACACTCAACATTAAAAATCCCATTGTCTTCTATGCTACTTGTTCACACCTGAGTGCTCAAGTGCCTGTAACAAAACGCCTGTTGCTCCAAAGTACAGGAGCTTCTTTTTTTAGGCAGAATCCACTGTTTTGGCCCCATATACTTTAATGGATATCCTGAAAAACGCATGTTTCTGCTTCTCTACTACAAGTAGTGCATAAAAGCGCTTGAGAAACGCATGTACAAGCAGGAAATAAAGTCCAAAAATTGCCTGGCTATGGTCAGGTGTTAAAGCAGCCTAAGGCCTCGTTCACATGGGCAGCAAGGGGGCTGTCAAAAACAGATGGTTGATATGTGGTTTTACCACTCCCTCGGCTGCTCACTGCAATGTCAGCACTGCGGCTGAACGGTGCTGTATACACTGCTGCAGCCGCGGGAAAAAAAACCCAGCATGTTGAGTCGCAATCATTGTAATGCATGCAACCACACCACAACCAAGTGGGTATGTGGTTGCAGCACGATATTGCAATAAAAAATCCCCATTGGGATTAAGAAGAAAAAAAAATTCCTTCAGAAGGCGGCAATATCACCTCATGAATGCCAGGCAGCCACTGCCCCACCACCCTCTGATCTGCCCAAGCTGAAACAATTTTCAACTGCCGTTTGTGTGAACAGAAACTAAGAGCTCTAATGATTATACTTGTACAACTATGTCGTTATGTTTATCATTTCTTTCTGATACATTGTATTGTATCTTGGTTACATCCACCAAGTCTTTCTATTATATTATCACCTTTACACTGCAACAACATAATTTTTCTTGTGCTGCTATCCACAAAGTCTCTCTCCCATACTGCCAAATGGGATACCCCCCAGATCTACCGTATGTGAATATCTATTTTCATCAAATCAGCTACTTCATTATAGATCGGTTTTGTATTCCTGGGACTATTCCAGGCCTTTTTCACCTGTTATTCTGGATCCATTCCATTTTCTTCTTACATATTACTCATTCTTCAACAGAATCCTGGTTTTATATTTCTCACTACCCAGTACACCCAAATAATGTATATTTGGCATCCTATAGGCATACTAAGGCAGAATAGCTGCTAATACATTTATCATGATGTCGCTTCTGGCAATAATCTCTTCTTGCTCTTTAGAAGATATGTTTATACCGTGTTTCCCCGAAAGATATTGGGGTTCTCTGAGATCACCTGCTGGTACTCTGGATTTTACTAGTGGCCTTTTTACTTGTTTTGGTTTATTGTTTGGTGATTAATTTGATCATGGGATTTTACTATTGTATATTATATGCAGTGCTTCCATTGTTATTGCTCTTAATTTCAGTGCTTTTATTTCTATATTTCTATTAGTATCATTTTATATTTCCTTGTTTTATCTTTATTAATATATATGAAGTGAATCTCACATACAAAGGTCTCTTACGTTTAAACACATGCCTTTTATATCCTTATTATATCGATACCACATACTTTTTCAGTAGGTTGTGTGCTCTTTTATTTCCTTATGTATATTGTTTTATGTTATTTTGTTTTTTTTTCGAATGAAGGGGTAGTTGTGAGCCCTCAAAACATGTTGGCTATATTCTCTGACCCATAAATAAACCTGTGGTGCGCTCATCTTTTTCCATAAAGCACCTCAATGCCTACAACATTCCACTAGTAAAGGGGTGTTTACAACATCTTCAGAACACAAAAAATAAAATCTGCTAAAAGCCTTGCATAATGTGTGTGTGTAATTATTGCCCAGAGCACAGTATGTCCAACGTAACAGTAATTCACTTTAGCATAGTAATTTAGACAATGAAAACAAATGCCTAATGATTTCCCTTCCATTGGAATTTCTATACTGTGACAAATGCAGGGACGTGCGGTCAGGGGAGGCAGGTGGGGCAGAGCCTCACCTAGTACTATGGAGGAAAAAGCTGTCAGCTTCAATTCTGAAGCGGACAGCTTTTTCTCCGTTCAGATCGGCTTCTATCAGGTTACACAGCAGGGAAAGCCTCCCCGCAGTGTAATCTGTCATGGACTGAGCGCTGCCTGTTAATTACAGGCAGTGCTGCATCCAGCTTTTGACAGGTAGTTAGGTTACACAGCAGCGGGCTTCCCAACTGCTTGTGTAACCTAACTATTGAGACAAGAGCTGTCACAGCCTCTACTCTTTTTTTAGAGGCGTGAGCTCTGTGGATGGCTTGGACCAATGGCAAAGCGCCATTGGTCCAAGCTGTCCAATCAAAAAAAGAAAAAAGAAACACTGAGGCCATCGATCTCGATGCCTCAGCAGTGATGAGCAAGTGAAGGACAGGGAGGCTCCTCCCTGTCTCCTTCACACTAGCTTGAGGGCCGGGTTGGGGGTGGGGCTTCAGTCGGCAGGGCTTTGGCCGGCAAGGGGAGTGGGGAACCGTGCAGGGGGCGAGGCTGGGGAATGCCTCACCCGGAACCAGAGGTACCGCACGTCACTGGACAAATGATAACCGGCGTGTCATTATAGTAAGAGTTGTTAAATGATAGGTGTACTTTAATACCCTAGTAAAGGTGGCCATACAATGATATATTTATCTTGTTCAACCCGCAGGCTGAATGAGAAAAATAGAGCACATTCCTCCTTCAACACTTAGGAGTGGGTCGATCGAGCAATCCCGATGCTTGCATTGCATTTTGACAGCGGCCGCCGGCTGCCATCGAGAGCGGGCAACTCATTGGCTGCCATCTCCTATTGTACGAACATATTCTGGAGATCAGCTGATCGAGGGATGCCCGACCAAAAAGGTGCCGACAGCGGCACCCACTGTGCGAATTTTGGC